GTGTGTATATATATATATATATATATATATATATATATATATATATATAGACCCTTTTTCTGTTAGTAAACATTGTGAGGTTTTTCTGTGGGCGGAGCTTAGGTGGAGGCAGAAAGAGTCCCTGACAGCTTCACTAATGCTAGCTATGAAGCTAGCTTTCTCTACGGAGAAAATCCGGTTTTACCTGCATATGTAAGGTCACTCATTGTCCGGGACCGCGATTGTTATTTGAAGTCGTGGGAAGTCGTGGCCTAATGGTTAGAGAGTCGGACTCGTAACCCAAAGGTTGTGGGTTCGAGTCTCGTACCGGCAGGGATTGTAGGTGGGGGGAGTGAATGTACAGCGCTCTCTTCCACCTTCAATACCACGACTGAGGTGCCCTTGAGCAAGGTACCGAACCCCCAACTGCTCCCCGGGCGCCACAGCAAAAACAAATAGCTGCCCACTGCTCCGGGTGTGTGTTCACGGTGTGTGTGTGTGTGTGTGTGTGCACTTTGGATGGATAAATGCAGAGCACTAATTCTGAGTATGGGTCACCATACTTGGCCACATGTCTCGTCACTTCACTTTTGAAAAGGTTAACTTTAACGGACGAAACCAGATTGGCTGACGCTACTCAAAGGTCATGTATAAACATGCACAGTAAAGAGAAACTCACCGTGTCTATCTTGTCATGAAGATGTGTATATATTTCAATTTCAGCAGGCAACTATTTTTACAGCTACAAGAGAGTGAACTGGGCCAAAATACAAAAAAAATTTCAGTGTGATGGATATATTATTTGAAGATGTATGTATCAATTGCCAAATAGTTAAAGTATATACCTCCTGTAAATGATGCAAGTTTACAGTGACATTACAGTACCTTTACATACCTTTAAATTAAGATGTGAAAGTTTTCTAGAAACAATAATGCTAATTTTGAACTTTATGTATTTGATTATCCTTTCTTTCTGACGATTCAAACGTGAGTTTTGAGCAGTGTGTGTGTGTGTGTGTGTGTGTGTGTGCACTTTGGATGGATAAATGCAGAGCACTAATTCTGAGTATGGGTCACCATACTTGGCCACATGTCTCGTCACTTCACTTTTGAAAAGGTTAACTTTAACGGACGAAACCAGATTGGCTGACGCTACTCAAAGGTCATGTATAAACATGCACAGTAAAGAGAAACTCACCGTGTCTATCTTGTCATGAAGATATATATATTTCAATTTCAGCAGGCAACTATTTTTACAGCTACAAGAGAGTGAACTGGGCCAAAATACAAAAAAAAAATTCAGTGTGATGGATATATTATTTGAAGATGTATGCATCACGTAATGGCCAAATAGTTAAAGTATATATACCTCCTGTAAATGATGCAAGTTTACAGTGACATTACAGTACCTTTACATACCTTTAAATTAAGATGTGAAAGTTTTCTAGAAACAATAATGCTAATTTTGAACTTTATGTATTTGATTATCCTTTCTTTCTGACGATTCAAACGTGAGTTTTGAGCAGTGTAGAGTAGCGCTTGTTGTTTGTCATTTCTCCGATCACAAATGCAGACATGGTTTTATGTTTATGACGCTACTCAAAGGTCATGTATAAACATGCACAGTAAAGAGAAACTCACCGTGTCTATCTTGTCATGAAGATATATATATTTCAATTTCAGCAGGCAACTATTTTTACAGCTACAAGAGAGTGAACTGGGCCAAAATACAAAAAAAAAATTCAGTGTGATGGATATATTATTTGAAGATGTATGCATCACGTAATGGCCAAATAGTTAAAGTATATATACCTCCTGTAAATGATGCAAGTTTACAGTGACATTACAGTACCTTTACATACCTTTAAATTAAGATGTGAAAGTTTTCTAGAAACACAAATTCCATGAATTGCTAATTTTGAACTTTCTGTATTTGATTATCCTTTCATTCTGACGATTCAAACGCGAGTAAGGATTGTTGTTTGTCATTTCTCCGATCACAAATGCAGACATGGTTTTATGTTTACGCGGCGCGATGCAACGCAACGTGTAAAAAGACAGTATAAGTCATTATAATCTGTAATTATGTCCCCACTGGATGCAACAAATGCCTCGTTTATAATGGGTTTTAATGGTTTTGTCTCGTTGCTCCGGCCGGACAGGGCATCATCACAGTATGGTGAGGGGCGTAACATTTCCGTCACACGCTTGGGTCTATATAGATAATATGTTTAATATTAAATATAAATAAACAGACATCTAGAAATATGTAGCAGTGTATGTGAGTGCTGTTAGTGTGTGTCGTACCCTCCAGCGGCGTCTCTGCGGTGTACGGTGCGTCTCCTGCGCTCAAGCTGCTCGTGGAGTTTCCCAGCAGGTCCGGCAGCGATGAAGAGACGGACGGAGCCGGCGGGTTCCTGCGCCACTTCCACACCGGCGTGAAATCTGGATAGCTGGCCAATCAGAGCACACCTCGCTTTTCAGACCGATGAGCTTTGTAAAAATCGACGCGTTTCAGAAAGGCGGGGCATAGAGGAGAAACAATAATGTACAGTATGTGGAAAATAATGTGTTTTTTTAACCTTAAACCGCATAAACATTTCATTACACCAAATACACCAAATAAAGTTTTTTCCAGCAGCATCATACGAGCCCTTTAAAATTTCTAATTGGAGCCTCTACTCTGTCGATTCTGGCAGCCAACATCACAACAAGATGATATCTTAAGCTCCTTGTGTAGCTGAATCTGTGCAGGTTTGAATGGGCCGCCTCCAGTTTTCCTTTTGTTTTGCCTCCAGCTAGCCCTAAAAGGGTCTATATATATAATATATATAATATGTTTAATATTAAATATAAATATACACACATCTAGAAATATGTAGCAGTGTATGTGAGTGCTGTTAGCGTGTGTCGTACCCTCCAGCGGCGTCTCTGCGGTGTACGGTGCGTCTCCTGCGCTTAAGCTGCTCGTGGAGTTTCCCAGCAGGTCCGGCAGCGATGAAGAGACGGACGGAGCCGGCGGTTTCCTGCGCCACTTCAACACCGGCGTGAAATCAGTGGACACCGGAAACTCATCCTGCACACAATTCATCTCACATGAGACCCTGGACCACAAAACCAACAATAAGGGTCTATTTTTCGAAATTGAGATTTATGCATCATCTGGAAGCTAAATAAATCATCTTTCCACTGATGTGTGGTTTGTTATGATCGGACAATATTTGGTTGAGATACAACTATTGAATCAACTATTGAAAACTATTTGAAAATCTGGAATCGGAGGGTGCAAAAAAATCTAAATATTGAGAAAATCAGCTTTAAAGTTGTCCAAATGAAGTTCTTAGCAATGCATATTACTAATCAAAAATTAAGTTTTGATATATTTACGGTAGGAAATTTACAAAATATCTTCAAGGAACATGATCTTTACTTAATATTCTAATGATTTTTGGCATAAAAGAAAAATCTATAATTTTGACTCATACAATGTATTGTTGGCTATTGCTACAAATATACCCCAGCGACTTAACACTGCTTTTGTGCTGCAGGGACACATATGAGACCATAGTTTATCAGACACACCTATAAACAACAAAGCACAGCTGCGGTTTGTGCATGCAATGCTGTGTTTGTCGTACCATCGACAGAGAGCCAGGCTCCTCCAGGAACTGCTTCAGACTCAGACTCTTCTTCCCGTTCACCTGAAGGTGTGTGCAGATCCTCCTCAGCACGTCGTACACACTGTCCCGCGACAGCAGAGACACAAACACATACTGCCAACAAGAAACACACACTAATAAGTCACGACATTAAAATGAAATGTGGAGACATCGTTTGATGATTATTAATACATACATTACAATTATATTAGGGATGTAACGGTATGAACATTTCTTATCACGATTATAGTGAACAAAGTTATCACGGTTATCAGTATTATCACGGTATTGTTAATATGTGCTGGAGATGTTAAAAAAGTACCGACACATAAATCACTTCACCAAGTTTTATATTTAAAAATCAACAAACAACAAATAAAATGACTTCTTGTTTGCATAATCACTAAAACAGTAACATTACCAATGATGTTCGGATGACAACTTGGCTGACAACAGTTTAAGAGCATGTTGAAATATCTAATGTAAATGTTCAAATAAAGCTTTGCAAAAGTTTCATAAAAAAGGTAAACCTCACATTTCAGCCTTTAAATAAAGAAAAGATATAAGTCAAAATGATAAATGATTAATAAATGATTATATGTATTTTATCTGCTCCACGAATAATTATAGATAACTCATCTGAATTGTTTAAATGTGTAGAATCCACATAAGCTTGTTTTTCATCAACCGGTCAAAGTTTACAGCAGGGCATGCGAATTCTGTCAGTTTTTGGCCAGACAGAAACCGCACACAGACTGAATGTAAATATAGGTCTCTGTAAATCCACTCGCTGACAGCAGGTGGCGCTTATGGAAAAGCAGAATTACAGCTGTTTCCCGTAACCTCCGAGGACAAAGCAGTATTGCGATTTAGAAAACTTCTTTTAGGTATTACATGGAGCGGAGATGATAACAAAATGCCGTTGAATCGTTTCTGAAGACAGTCAGAACCTTCAGAGGTACATTCATATAATCAATTAATTCATATATTCATTTGTATAATTACCTTAGCACTCTTATAAAACCTCCCAGCTTTTCCGCCCTGTTTTCACTCAAAACAAAACTACTCTGCGTGCTGTGCGCACGTGAGACTGATACTTAAAACTGTGCTTTATGTTGGACAGTATTTATTTATCGCGAGTTGTGCAAATCGCGGTAATCTAATACGGTTTTAATGATAATTAAA